GGTGTGTGTCTATATAGGTATATATAAATAATATATAGTATTATACTATATATATATATATATATAGTCATAATATTAGGTATTTATAATCATATGGTGTTGTGTGTGTGTATGTGTTGTTGTTATGTGTATGTGATATGTGTGTCATGTATATACTATGTATAATATATATTCTATATATATATATATAATATTATAAATATATTATATATATTAATAAGGTTAGTTCAACATATGGTAGTGTGGTGTGGGTGTGTGTGTGCTGTGTGGGGTGTGTGTTGTGGGTGTGGTGTGTGTTTAATAGTATTATAATGACTATATTATAATAGTATATAATTAGGAAATATAATATAATACTATGTAATACATCAACACACACATAATATGATAGTATAATTATCTAATAATATACGTAGTGTATATTATATAAATATATATTATAAGATAAGCTAATATGCATAATATAATAATAATTACATATATAAGAAACAGATATATATAATATGTATATATGATATATATAATATAATATAACTATATAGTATATATGTGTTGTGTGTGTGTGTTGTGGTGTGTGTGTGTGTGTGTGTGTGTGTGTGTGTGGTGTGTGTGTGTGTGTGTGGTGTCTATATATATATATAATATATATATATATAATATAGTATATATATATAATAATATATATATATACATATGTTTGTTTGTGTGTGTGATGTGTGTGTGTGTGTATATGTGAATATGTGTGTATATATATAATGTAATTATAATATATATATATATATTATATATATATATATAATATATAATATGTGTGTGTGTGTGTGTGTGTGTGTTGTGTGTGTGTGTGTGTGCGTGGTGTGTGTGTGTGTTATAAATAATGTATATATATATATATATATAATATATATATATATATATATATATAATATATTATAACTATATATCACCACACACACAACACGACACACACACACAACACACACACACACATATACATATATTATATATATATATAATATAATATATATATTATATATATTATATAATATATATATAATATATATAATAATTATGCTTGTTTGTAATATGCATATAAATAAATATATACATACATATATATATATATATAATATATATATAATATATATATATATATATACTATATATATATATATACATATATATCTTATTTGTAATATGCATATAAATATAAATATATATATTAATATATTATATAATTATATATATATAATATATAATATATATATATATATATAATATATTATATAATATATGTATATAATATAATATATATATGCTTTGTTTGTATATGCATTATATAAATACTATTATATATATGTATATATATATATATATATATATTATATATATATATATATATATATATATATATAATACTATATATATATATATATATATATAATATATATATATATGTAATATATTATATATATATATATATAATATAATATATATATATATATATATATATATATATTATATTTTTTTTTGTTTGTGTGTGTGTGTGTGTGTGTGTGTGTGTGTGTGTGTGGTGTGTGTGTGTGTGTGTGTGTGTGTGTGTGGTGTGTGTGTGTGTGTGTGTGTGTGTGTACATATAGTATATATATATATATATATATATATATATAATAGATATAGATGATAGATAATATATATATATAATATAGATTATATAATATATATATATATATAAATATATATATGTATATATATATATAATATACATATATATATATATATATATATTATATATATATATATATATATATTATATATATATAATATATATATATATAATATATAATAATATATAATATATATATATGTAATATGTATTTATGCATATACGTATATATGCATATATCTATATATGCGTATGTCTCTGTGTTTAATTTTCAAGAACTAAAAAGAAAAGACAATGATACTTTCAGTTAATATTATTTATCATACCTGTACTTCTTATTTGTTTTCTCTTTATAAAAGAATCTCACTTCCTACTAATATGATCCTTGAGAAAAACAAGAAAACAAAAACTGAACAGTTACTGAGGGTATTAAGAGAAGGCAATAAAATATGTACTGAATGTTAATCGAGTATCATTTGTAATTCTCACTGACGATATTCTGCAATAGAGTAATGGACGTGATGTTTTTGAGATAAGGTTACAAAAGTTGTATGTTATCTGTATATACAATCAAACAGATGTCCATAACCCACAGTCATTTACCTAATAGTAACTTGTATATAAAACATCACTCTATATATCTATACGAGTTTATTCGCCACAATCAGAAGATATTTTCTTACAAAAATCTTATATAGTATGTCGTGTTAAAGAATGGAGAATCAAGTGCAGAATGCATAGATGTTCTACTGATTTAATCGGCTGTGAAGATTGTAGATTTGCTGATAGAGATACTGCATATATCAAGCGGTGAGTGAGCGTAAGAAAATCGAT